CCTGCCGCGGTCCCTACCCTTCCCAAATCCCTTTGGCATCATCAGTCCCCGACGTCCCCGTAGCGGGGTGTTGAAATCCCCAAAGGGTCTGGGCGCCAGCGCCCGCCTATCCAGGGGGCTTTTAGGGATGCCGTGCCGGGGCACACGGGGGGTGCGACCCCCCAGCCAAAGGCGTGACAGCTTTGAAGGGGAAAATGGGTGGGATGCGAGTGTCCCTGTGAGGAGCCCAGCTTGCGTGGCGTGAAATTAGGCACCCCTTAACCTCACGCTCTCGCAAAGACAGCAGAGTAATAAGCTAATAGCTCCGAATGTCCCTACCCTGTGGGTATTTTTTTTTACCCATTCATTTGGGCTTTGATGACAGGTTGCTCTTCAATGCGCCTCCTGTGGGGCTTTTTTTTTTTTTTTTTAATATTGCTGGGTAAAGAAGAAAAAATCCCAGGTTATTTACTTTGCAGGGTAATTAATATTGGTGCCCTAAGTGGAAAAGTAGGGGTTAGAATTAGTCAGTTGAGCGTGCTGGCAAAAGGCGAGGTAGGAGGAGTCCCACAGAGCAGACCAGACCTTTAGGTTAGGGATATTTTTTCTGTCCTCAGGTCGGACTTATTTTAGACTTCTGTTTTCTTACTCCACTTTGCACAGAATTCAGTGACATAACCCTATTGCACTCAGAAAAAAAAAAAAAGCAGTAAAAAACCCATAATGATCTGTTTGCCTGAACTCCTGCTCATTTTCTAAGCTAGCAAAACAGCCTTTTTCCTTCATAGGCTTGTGTATCAACACATCCACTCGTGACATTATCTGTCCGCTCATTCAGCTGTGTTCCTCGGTCAGTACTCAGTGGAGGTGCGTGGAAGGAATTTCTTTCCCCTTTTATTTGATTAAGCACTGATCACGATGTTTTAACAGACGGTCCTTAAACTAACAAATGATAGTAATAGGACTTGCCATGAAATGCATGTGCGTGGAATGGCATGGACAGAAATCGATAGGGAAAAAAGAGAATGGTAGAAGAATCCACAAACAACACTGGGAGGCCAGGCTTGTGAGATTTGTCCTGCTTTTTCCTTTAAATATCTGGATTTAAAAGCAAGAAGGTATTAATTTCAGAAAATAGCACTATTTTTTTTCTCAGTTTTTAATGTTTTCTCTAGAAGAAGAAAGATCTGAATGGTTTATGACAGTACGATAATTGAAATCTGGTGCTTAGTTTAAATATGTTTATCTGCAGTGCAGGCAGGAAAGAAGTAAAAGTTGATTTAACAGAAAATATTGGAATTCCTGCATGACAGGCTCAAGTGAAAATTTTAAAATTGTAAGTGAAGGGAGCTCTTAAAATACTGAGGAAAACCCCATTATTTTTAGCATAGCTTTTTTTTTTTTTAGTATGAATTGTTTCTCAAGTGCTTTTGGAATATAAATTATGATTAAGAAGAGATGAACTGCACTTAATTTTGATGCACATTTTCTCCATGTTTACTTTTCTTTTCTCTTTACAAGACAATTTGTACTAGTCTATATTTTTTATTCCTGTGTTGTGGAACCAAAACACACCATGCACTTTCAGTTTGGGTTGCACGCACTGGGCTAGAATCTCAGTGTTTAGTCAGGCAAACCTCAAATGGATTGCAGAATTGGGTCCATTATTTCCGGAGAGCAGCAAAGGAAATAGCAGGCTAGTAGGAAAATTAAAAGAAAAAAAAGTCAAATCTTTATAGCCAGGCATTGTGTTGCTTCAACCATCCCAAATATCAGTGAACCACATTAACTTTTATGACTAATGGATAAACCCGATTATATTAGCAGCCTCAACCTTGCTTTCCCATAAAAACAGAAACAGAAATACCACATAATTTTGCAAATTTAAGGATACGTTGTACCACCCACTTTTTTAGGAAAATGTTCTACCACAGATAAGTCTTAAAACTAGTAGTTAGACAGCAACCTTAAATTATTAGCTGACCAGAAATATGCTTCAAAGGCCCAGAGTTGAGTAAGCAAAATTAATGTTTGCAAGTCCTAAGTAGCAAACACTGTGATTTGAGTCGTTCCTCTGATATGCACTGCAGATGATGTTTCTTTTAAAATAAATATCATTTTTAATATTATGCATTTGATAATCTCGTTTGACCTTCATGAAAATTTTATGGCACGGTTGCACGCATACAGAGATAGATTTAGAGCCATAAACTGTTTTCATTCTGCTTATCTAATTCTCATTGACACCTGTGTATATTAAGCAGCAGATGTAGGGCAGCTTGAGATGGATTCTGCTCTCACTGACACTGGTATAAATTTGAGTTGCTCCCGCGACTAGATGAGCTAATACTTAATGCTTCGTCGATCCCCGACGCATTTTTCTTGCTGAAAGGCCAAGGCTCCAGGCTAATTAATATGTCCCGCCCTGTCCGGGCGAGAATGGGAGTCGGGTGTCTGACTGAGCTCCGTGAAACGTGGGAAAGCTTCTAGGAAAGAAGTTCGGGAGGGCCTGGGCCGCTGCCGGGGCGCGCTGGGCTTGTCGTTAACGTCCCCTTTTGCCCTTGCAGATATGCCCTGTGTGCAAGCGCAGTATAGCCCTTCACCGCCCGGTTCGAATTATGCAGCTCAGACCTACGCGTATGGCTCGGAGTACAGCTCGGAGATCATGAACCCTGACTATACCAAGCTGACGATGGACCTGAGCAGCACCGAAATCACCGCCACTGCCACCACCTCCCTTCCCAGCTTCAGCACCTTTATGGAGGGTTACTCCGGCAGCTACGAGCTCAAGCCTTCCTGCCTCTACCAAATGCAATCTGCCTCCTCCAGCCAGAGGCCCCTCATAAAGATGGAAGACACCCGGCTCTCCCCCTACCAGCCCTCACTGCCACCCTCCACCGACGAGGGGATGCCCAGCACGTCCATGTACTTCAAGCAATCTCCTCCCTCCACCCCCACCACGCCTGGCTTCCCCTCTCACCAGAGCCTGTGGGATGAGCCCCCGCTGCAGCCCACGCAGACCTGCCTGCCGCCCAGCCACCTCATGGACGCTGCCCCCATGAAGACCGTGCCTCCCCGCTTCCCCCTCTTCCACTTCAAGCACTCCCCCCCACACACGCCGGCGGCCGCCCCCCACATCTGCTTTGACCCTGCCTCCCTCTGCCTCCCCCTGGCCTCCGACCGGCCCGC